GGCACATTCAAGCCTATTGTGACTATAACAGCCGCGCCACCCAGCCGAGCCGCACCGCCCAGCCGAGCCGCGCAGCCCAGCCGAGCCGCGCTGCTCTGCCAAGCCGCGCTGCCCAGCCGAGCCGCGCCGCCCTACTGAGCCGCACTGCCCTGCCTGCACTGCTGCCACTGCTGCCTCCGCTGCTGCTGCTGCTACTGCTGCCTCTGCTTCTACTGCTGCTACTGATGCTATGGCTAGCCCTACTGTTCACACCTTTGATGCTGAGGGATGTGCAGTTGACTTTGACGTGTGGGTTGATGACCTGCAGCTCTTTCTTCAGTGTGACTCTAGGGATGGGGTATCCCTTTTCGATCACACGTCAGGTGTCTCTACTGCCCCTGCTGCCACTGCTGACAGTACGGTTCGCTCGCAGTGGACCACTCGTGACGCTGTTGCTCGTCTTGCTGTTCGTAGTCACTTGCCGCCTGCTGAGCGCGCGCTTTTTGGCCATTACAAGACTGCTCAGTCTTTGTACGACGCTGTAGTTGCGCACTATTCCTCCCCTGCCACTGCTGCCCTCAGCCGCCTCATGCTGCCGTACCTTTTCCCTGACCTTGCCACCTTTGCCACAGTCGCTGACCTCACTGCTCACCTCCGCACTAGTGACGCCCGCTACCGCGCTGCCCTTCCCACTGAGTTCTGTGCCAAGAACCCCCCCCCCATGTACATCACCCTTTACTACCTAGTCACCCGCCTCCCTGACTCCCTTGCTTCGGTCAGGGACCACTTTCTCTCCCTTTGCCCCACCGAGCTCACTGTCGACCTGCTAGAGGAGCGCCTCGCTGCAGCTGAGAAGAGTATCTTAGCTGTAGGTGCTTCTCGCGGCGACAGTCGCACCCCTTTCTTTGACGGGTGTTCCCCTGTCCCCCTTCTCCCCTCTGTTGCTTCTAATGCTGCTGTCGACCTCGTTGGCACAGAGGAGGTCGGCGCTGCGTCTGCCCCCATGTGGGAGACGCCGCAACAGCAAGGGCAAGGGGAGCAAGGGTGGTGGAGGGGACGGCGGGAGCGGCGGTGGAGGCGGTGGAGGAGGTGGAGGGGGTGGCGGTGGAGGTGGGGGTGGTGCTGGGAGTGGGGGCTTCAGTGGCGGCGGTGGAGGTGGTGGAGGCAGCAGCGGAGGTGGTGGAGGCAGCGGCAGCGGTGGTGGAGGTGGCGGTGGCGGTGGTGCTGGTCGAGGTGCAGCCGCGCAGCGTTGAGGCTTTGGTGGTGGCCAGCGCCAGCAGCAGCTGCGTTCCCGTGAGACCCCGTCGGCCCAGCAGCTTCGTGAGTGGTACGCTGGGCGTGGGAGGTCTGGGGGTGCTGGTCCCTGCACTTACGTTCTTCGCACTGGCGGGCGCCGTGGGGAGGCGTGCGGGCTGCCACACACTACGCAGCGCTGCTTCGGTCGCCTGACTGACGCCTTGCGCGCCCAGTTTCCTGACGCTGTTGAGCTCCCTCGTTGGGGTGATCTGCTTAGGCAGAATGTGGCTATCTTTGATCTTGATTTCGATGCTATCCTTGCTGCCATGTATGCTTTTTTTTATAGTGCTGAGGGTGACTGTTACATGAGTGTCCCGCCCGACCCGGGCATTGAGGCTGCTGCTCTAGGTGCTAGTGCGTCTATTGCTCCAGGTACTGGTGAGTCTGCTGCTCCAGGTGCTGGTGAGTCTGCTCTCTCTGGTACTGCACCTACTGAGGCCTTGCACACTTTCACACTTGACTCTGGTGCTTCACGCTCTTTCTTTAGAGACAGCACCACGCTCACGCCGCTCAGTCGGCCTGTCGCAGTCTCCATCGCTGACCCCTCCGGGGGCCCAGTCCTTGCGCACTCTTCCACGGTTCTACCGTGTCCTGCGGCCCCGTCGGGCGTGCTGTCGGGCCTCCACCTCCCCTCGTTCTCTACGAACCTGGTGAGTGGAGCTGACCTCCAGGACGCGTGGGTTGACCAGTTCACCCCTGGAGGTCAGCGTGTGACCCACTGCACTTGCTCTCGGACGGGCTGCCACCTGGCCACGTTCTCCCGTTAGCTTGGGTCGAGTCTCTACACACTGACTACTGCGCCCCCTCCGGTCTCTGCGTCTGGTCAGGTAGCCGCGTCTAGTCAGGTGTTTGCTGCCGCGTCCGGGTCTAGTCCTGCGTCTGCCCCCTGCTCGTGTCGTCCTCTGACGCAGGAGACTCTCCTTTGGCACCACCGCCTTGGTCACCCCTCCCTGCCTCGTCTTCGAGGTATGGCCTCCCGTACCCTTGTCTCGGGTCTCCCCCGGTCCCTTCCTCCCCTTCCTCCGGGGCCTGCCCCCACCTGTGTTCTTTCTATCGAGGGCCGGCAGCGCGCCGCTCCTCACTCCTCCTCGTTCCCTCCGACCGAGGCTCCCCTGCAGACTCTTCACATGGACGTGTGGGGCCCAGCCCGCGTCCGTGGACAGGGTCATGAGCGTTACTTCGTGCTGGTAGTTGACGACTACTCGCGTTACACCTCATTCTTCCCCTTGCGCAGCAAGGGTGACGTCACTGAGGTGTTGATCGACTGGATCCGCGGTGCTTGTCGCCAACTCAGCGAGAGTTTCAGCTCGTTTCCTATTCTGCGTCTGCACTCAGACCAAGGTGGTGAGTTTTCCTCCGACCTCCTGAGGGCCTTCTGTCGTGCGGAGGGCATTCGCCAGACGTTCACGCTTCCGGCCTCCCCACAGCAAAATGGGATTGCTGAGCGCCGCATTGGCATGGTCATGGACGTCGCTCGTACGTCCATGATCCATGCGGCTGCTCCCCATTTTTTGTGGCCGTTCACGGTTCAGTACGCTGCGCATCATATCAACCTTCAGCCTCGTGTCTCCTTGCCATAGACCACACCTACTCTGAGGTGGACGGGGAAGGTTGGCGATACGTCCGCGTTCCGTGTCTGGGGATCTCGAGCTTTTGTCCACGATACTTCAGCGGACAAGCTGTCCTCCCGTGCCGTTCCCTGTGTCTTCCTTGGCTTCCCCCCTGACGCACCTGGGTGGCAGTTCTACCACCCAACCTCGCGTCATGGTCTGTCCTCTCAGGACGTCACGTTTTACGAGTCGGTGTCTTACTACCGTCTCTTTCCCTACCGCGCTGCCTTCCCCCCCCCCCTGCCACTCTTCCTCGCACCAGGTACTCCTCCGGTAGACCCCCTCCCCCCTGAGGGTCCTGCCCCCCTCGGGTGTGTCTCAGGTAGATGCTGCTGAGCCGGTCGAGGTAGCTGTCGACTTAGGTGCTGCTAGGGAGGCTGAGCCTGTGGGTGCGGGGACTGGGGCTGCGGAGCCTGGGGGTGTGGAGTCTTGGGGTGCTGAGCCTGAGCGTGTGGAGCCTGGGGGTGTTGTGTCTGGGGGTGTTGAGTCGGGAGGTTCTCCGGGTGTCCCGTTGCGGTGGGAGCCCCTCTCTCCGCAGCGGCTTCGTGAGTAGTACGCTCGGCGCTGTCGTCGTGCCACTGGTGTTGCTGGAGCTGGAGCTACTGGAGGTGCTGGTGCTGCTGGTGCTGCTGGAGGTGCTGCTGGTGCTGGAGCTACTGGAGGTGCTGCTGGTGCTGGTGCTGCTGGAGGTGCTGCTGGAGCTGCTGGAGGTGCTGCTGGTGCTGGTGCTGCTGGAGGTGCTGCTGGTGCTGGAGCTGCTGGAGGTGCTGCTGGTGCTGGTGCTACTGGAGGTGCTGCTAGTGCTGGAGCTGCTGGAGACGCTGGTCCTAGAGGTGCTCGTACTGGAGGTACTGGAGCTGCTGGGGCTGGTGGTACTGCGGGCGTTGGAGCTGCAGGTACTGAGGCTGGTGGTGCTGCGGGAGTTGTTACAGGAGACCCTGGAGCTGAGGGTACTGGTGCTGTCTCTGCTGTTTCTCGAGGCGCTGCATGGCCGCGGCCGTACTACGTTCCGCTCCTTCAGCAGGTTCTTGGTCTACCGCCTTCTCCTGGTCCTACTCCTCCTTTACTGAGTCCACAGCCTGTCCAGTCACAGTCGCAGTTGCAGCCGTCCTCTCCACTGCCTGGTCCTTCTTACTCTGGACCGACTAGAGGTCTAACGGAGCGTCATGAGCCTGAGTCGCGTCCTGTGTCGCTTGTGTCTCCTGCTGCGTTGCCTGTCTGCACTGCTCGCGCTGGTCGTGTTTTGCGTCCGCGTCCTCCTCCTGTCCCTGGCACTCACTCTATGACACTGCGTCCTTCCACTGCTCCATAGCGTGTCCCTCTGCCCTCTCCTCCTGCGTCCTCTCTTCCTGACGGTCTGGACCCGGAGTCTGACTCCCTTCGTTTGCCCGTCCTATTGTCACGCGCTTTCTGGCCACTAGTCTTGTTGCTGAGCTTGTTGACTTTGCTGCAGCCTGTCGCCTAGACTACGCCACTAGTCTTGTTGCTGAGTCTGCGTCTGCGTCTGTCTGTCCTCCGTCCGTCGGGGGTGAGTGTGCTCTTGGCACGGACGTTCTTGAGGACAGACTGGAGGAGTTTGAGTGCTTTGCCGCTGCTGTAACTCATCTCGTGTCCATGCTACTTGCCCCTGAGGGAGACCCGGATGCACCAGACATCCCGACCCCGCGCTCTTACGCAGAGGCGATAGAGGGTCCCTACTCCTCTCAGTGGCAGGCAGCCATGGACGCCGAGTTGGCTTCCTGGAAGTCCACAAGCACCTACGTCGACAAGGTTCCCCCGCCTGGGGCGAACATCGTCAGTGGCATGTGGATCTTCAGGGTGAAGCGGCCGCCGGGTTCTCCGCCTGTCTTCAAGGCGCGTTACGTTGCACGTGGCTTCAGTCAGCAACAGGGAGTTGACTTCTTCCAGACCTTCTCCCCTACCCCGAAGATGACCTCTCTTCGGTTACTGCTGCACGTTGCCGCTCAGCGTGACTACGAGCTCCACTCGCTTGACTTCAGCACAGCCTTCCTACAAGGCAGCCTGCACGAGGAGATCTGGCTACGCCGCCCACCTGGTTTCACTGGGTCGTTTCCTGCTGGTACCCAGTGGAGCCTCCGGTGGCCAGTCTACGGTCTAAGCCCCCTCTACCGCAGGCTCCGAAGCCCGTGTCAGCAGTCTCTGAAACGATTCTTCCCCTCGCACCCGCGGCTCCCCTTGCCGCTCCCGAGTCCGGCCCGTCTGCCCCTGTTGCTGTTCCGTCCGGTCTGGCTGCTCCTCCTGCACCCCCTCCCGCTGCTGTAGAACCGTCTGTTCCTGCCCCTGGTCCCGATCCTGCGCCACCTGCGTCGTCTGCTCCCGTCGTTGCGCAGTCTCCCCCCGGCGTTCCTGCTGCGCTACCTGCCGCTGTTGTACTCCCTGCGGCGATCCCCGCCGTTGCGCAGTCGCTGCTGGCGGTGTTCGCCACCACTGGCGGCCCGGCTCCCTTGGTTGCGCCCTCAGCGGCGGGTCAGTCCGCGCCTGCTGTGGCACCGATGGCCCTGGCAGGCCAGCCGTCACGACCCCAGTCACCTGACCGCCGCCCGTCTCGTCCTCATTCCCCTGCGCCACACCAGGATCGCCGGTCGTCTCGTCGCCGCCGTGATTCTCCACGGCGTTACCAGCAGCAGCCTCACTGGCCTGCTCACCCCGGTGGTCAGGGGGACTGGAGGGGTTCCCGCGGGCGCGGTGGTGGTGGGGGGTACCGCCCGCCGGTGACGATGGCAGATCTTCAGCGGGAGGTGTCGAGGGCGGTACGCGAGGAGAGGGCGTCGCAGAGCCAGAGCAGTTCGATGCGCGCCTCGCCGGCCCTTGAGGCTCCACGCCAGCCTGTGCTCCCCTTGAGTCCGCCGCCTGTCGCCGCACCCCCTCCTCAGGTTCACATCCCAACGGCCTCTGCACCCGCTGCGTCGGCGCCCGCCCCTGGAGCGCGTCTTCGCTTGCCACCGGTTCCGCCTGTTGCGGGGGTGGCCGCTGGTGGCGGCGCGTTTGCGGCGTAGTATTCGCCTCCCGCTGATGAAGATCAGCCGCTCCAGTTCCTGGCGGAGGCACTTCAGCCTCCGCAGACTCGTGTTCCAGAGGCGACGCTAGGGCAACTCCATCGCCTCGCCGAGAGTCTTCACGCGCTGCTGCTGATTCAGGTGGTTGCGCATTCGTCTCTCCCAGTAATCCCTCCTGAGTCCTTCCGTGGCCGCCAGCGTGACACTTGCCTGGACGCGGCAGACCAGCTCGCGGTGCTCCTGGCGCCCGTGCTGGCTGCGCCCGCGGAGGGAGGCGCTGCTGCTGCGGGACAGCTTGACGAGGCTGTCCGGGGCCTGAGGCGGCACTTGCGCGCTGGATCTGGAGCCGCGGCGATCGGCGCAAGCACGCTTGTGGTCCGGGAGCTGTGGCGCTCCCTGACGGGCATTCTTCACGCCCTTGGAGCGCACCGCATGCAGGCGCGGGCTCCGGTTGCCCCATGGTCGCTTTACTTGTCTAGGCAGACGTAGGGAATGCCATCGCTTGTATGCCGTTGCTTATAGTCACTCGTGTGCGTGTTCACTTGCCGTCTGCTCACGCGCGGCCGAAGGCCGCGCTGTCGAGCGTCGGCCGCCGGAGGCGGCCGGCGCGAGCGGAAAAATCTGAACCCACCGAACAATGAGGAAAGGAGGCCAAGAAGGCCTCTTAAGTAGCTCACAGAGGAGAGGGCAGAGGGCAAAGGGAGAGGGCAGAGGCTAGGTGCCTCTCTCTCTCTCGCTCTCTCGAACGAGCGGAAAATTCTGAACCCACCGAACAATGAGGAAAGGAGGCCAAGAAGGCCTCTTAAGTAGCTCACAGAGGAGAGGGCAGAGGGCAAAGGGAGAGGGCAGAGGCTAGGTGCCTCTCTCTCTCTCGCTCTCTTGAACGAGCGGAAAATTCTGAACCCACCGAACAATGAGGAAAGGAGGCCAAGAAGGCCTCTTAAGTAGCTCACAGAGGAGAGGGCAGAGGGCAAAGGGAGAGGGCAGAGGCTAGGTGCCTCTCTCTCTCTCTCTCTCTCTCTCTCTCTCTCTCTCACACACACACACACACACACATGCACACACACACACACCCACACACACACACACACATATGCACACACACACACACACAGACACATGCACACACACACACACACACACACACACACACACACACGCACACACATGCACACGCTCACCCTGACCTCCATCCCTCTGTGTGCCGATGGTGGCATGCAGGCATTGGAGGAGGTGCGCAAGATCCGCCCCCAACGAACCCTCTTCACAGGTCAGGCCCTCCCAATGCATGCCGTGCTCCGCCTGCATGAGATGCCATGCCATGCTCCAGGCTCCGTTCTCACCCTCTACATGCACTGCATGCATTGCCCCTTCTAGAGGCACCTGCAGGCCATGCACACTACTGCCTGCCCCTGTATGCTCTGTTGCACCTCTCTTGTCTCATGCCATGCGCCATGCACCACTCACTTCCATGCACCACTCACTTCCATGCACCACTCACTTCCATGCACCACTCACTTCCATGCACCACTCGCTTCCATGCACCACTCGCTTCCATGCACCACTCACTTCCATGCACCACTCACTTCCATGCACCACTCACTTCCATGCACCACTCACTTCCATGCACCGCCCACCGCCATTTCTGCCTTGCCACATGATGCTGACGTAAAGGCATCGCACAGCATGATGGCACGACTCTCCCAGTCACCCGTGCCGCCTCCTGCATGCCCGCTCCTTCACCTCATCTGTCATCCATCATCCTTCCCTCCTCTCAAGACCCACCTGTCTCACATGTGCTGCACTGCCCACTGCCCCGTGTGCCGTGTGTGCCCCGTACCGTGGTGCAGGCATGATGCATGTGATGGAGCATGAGAGTGTGTCCGCACAGCTGCGGCAGCTGCAGCAGCAGGAGGGGCTGGATGTGGACCTCGCATACGATGGCATGCGCGTTCCCATCGACCTGTGAGCGCAGCGCTGCTGGCCCAATAAGCTCACTCCACTCCACTCCATCCACCATGTCATCATCAGAGTGCATGGCATGGCATCACATGATGGTGCAGAGCGGACCATGCTGCATTGTCAGTGCATGCCTGCCTGCTCCACGGCAACCATGTGCCTGCACTGCACGCCTGTGAAGCTTGCTAACTATTTTAGCTTTAGGTGTCTTGCAGGTCTTTGTACTCATTCAGTATTTTGTGCCAAGGAAGGACATCTGCAGTAGGCGCAAGAACTTCAGCATACTGCTAATCGATTATCAAACTATGTTTATAATTTGGATAGGCTGTAGTGAGGTACACCTTATGGGGTATATAAAACTCTCGACACTCTTCTTGTACCCCCCCTCCCCCCCCCCACCCCCTCCCCCTCCCCCCTTTTCCCTAGTCAACTAACTATTCTCGCTACCTACCTAAATTATTATGTAGTTCCTGAGATCAATGTACGCTCGTACGAGAATTCTCTTCAGACTGGGTCTCCAAAACAAAAAACTAAGCTTGGCGTCTCATTCGTTTGCTGCTCTCGCATGCATAATAATTGTGTATGAGGTTCTCAGGTTTTTATTGTGTATGAGGTCTCCCTATTTCCTTGTATAATGAACTAAATAAATAAACATTATTTACCTGTTTTTTTGTCTGGATTTCAAGGTGGATTTGCGTTCCAGCTTGTTTTCCAGACAAACCGAAACCCGAAACCCTGAACCCCCGGGTCATCACAACAACGAAACCCGGGAAAGGCACCTGCAATGAGACAGGCGGCTCGGAGGGGATTTAAACCAACCAGGATCCACCAAGCGCCACCACCACATCGCCGCCTCACCCCACCTTCCCTTCCCCCCACAATGCTCGCCTGTCTCTGTTCCCTCCCACCTGTCTCTTCTGTCATGCACACCCTGCCTCTTCTTGTTCCGCTGCTTTCTCTCCAAGTCGTGCTGTGTCTTCCACCTTCGCTGCTGCTCTCGCAACTTCGCAAGCCTCTTGGCTCAGTTTGTTGGTGCCTCTTTCATATCACCGTGCAAAATTTCCAGCCAACCAGCAGCGTGAAATCCTCGCCTTCGCCTAGCTGGGCTCGGCAGAAACTATTCCAGGCACCTCGCTGGCTTGGTTATACCGCCAATGCGCCTCTTCACGCCTCCCCCAGTTGTCGTCAGTGACCGCAAGCGCGCCAAAATAGCAACCGCTACTATGGCTGTTCATTACCGCAACAGGCGCCCAGTCAGAACGCGCCTCGTACTCCTCGCGCACCCCTTCCGCCAATCTGCTTCCGCTCAACCCTCCTCCGCCGTAGACACTCCTGGCATCCCGTCAACCAAGTCAACGCTCCGAACGTGGGGAGACCCTGATCATGCCGCTAGTACTCAACGTCACTTACCACCTACCACGCACCACTTTCTACTCAAACCTCCTTCGGATCTCGCCCTCAAAATCCGTGCAAAAACGCCCGGCATTAGTACTAGTAGTAACACTAGCCGCGCCTGTAGAGCTCAAGTTGGTACTTGTAGTGATACTCCCCCTTTTCCAATGATCTTAATAGTCGCCCATCATTTTTCGCACGCTCCCGATCTTCGCATACTCCCATTCTCGAACGCCTTCATGACGTCATTCCCTCGCCGCGCCTTCCCGTCCTCCCTCCCCCTCCTCTCACTCCTAACCCTCATCGCCCTCCTCGCGCTCATCGCCCTACCCCGCGTCGCGCTAGCCTACAGCTTTTCGACCCCCCCGGGGTGCGTCGTGCCGATGGCGGAGGGCGACCGCGAGGCCATGCGCGCGGTGTACGCGGCGCTGCCCGACGGCATGTTCTTCTGGCACGACAGCCCGTCCTCGCCAGAGCTCTTCGACAGGGACGGCAACCTCACGTACAACTGCTGCGCGCCAGCCAGCCTTCGGCCCCCGTCGTGCTTCGTCTGGTGCCAAATCGAGTGCACGGCCGCCGGCCGCATCACCGGCATATTCTCCGACCCCAGTCCCTATGACATGCCCGGGCCCACCGGGTATCTCGGAGGAAGCTGTCCGCCCGGCGCGCTGTCGCCCGCCATTGGCGACCTCGCGGAGCTCTCCTCGCTGGTGTTGCGCCACTCGTGCCTCGCCGGCGGCCTGCCGGACTCCGTCACGCGCCTCCAGAAGCTGACGGAACTCGACATGCCCGATAACAGCTTCTCCGGCCCCGTTCCGCCCGGGCTCTTCCGCCTGCCCGCGCTCCGCCACGTGGATCTCAGCACCACCATTGGCGGCGGTCTTTCAGGGCCCCTTCCCGACGGGCCCGATGCGTACTCCCCGTCGCTGGTAACGGTTCGCCTTTCCGCTCACAACATCTCGGGGGAGCTTCCGCGCGCGATTTTCCGCGCGCCTGCGCTGCGCGAATTGCGCATCGAGGCCAACAACCTCACGGGGGAGCTCCCGGGGGAGGCGGGAGCGTATTCGCGGAGCATCGTCGCGCTCTCCCTGCGCAGCAACGGGCTGACCGGCGGCATTCCGGCGGCGCTGGCGGAGATGACGGCGCTGAGGGAGCTCGACCTGGGGGACAACGGCCTGTCGGGGAGCATCCCACCCGCCATCGCCACTCTCTCGCCGCTCACACGCCTCGCGCTCGACCAGAACCGATTGACCGGAGACATTATCGCTGCGCTGGTTCCTGCTTCCGCTGTCTCCGCTGCTCCTGACGCTGCTGCGTCTGCTGGTCTCCGCGCGGCGTTCCCGCTGCTCAACTTCCTGGACGTCAGCAGCAACCAGCTCTCCGGCGACGCGGCTGCGCTCGTGCCTCTCCCGCGCGGCCTGAACGCGTCGCGCAACAACCTCACGTGCAGCGCCGGCAGCACCTTCGTCGCGACCGTTGTGGACCTCTCGCACAACCGCATATCCGGCGGTTTGGCGGAAGTCATGCGCAACGTCAGCGCGAGCGTGCTGCTTCTGGCGCACAACGAGCTGTCGGGGAGCATCCCCGCGGACCTGCTTTCCGCCGTGCGTGAGGAGCTCGACCTCTCGCACAACCTGCTCTCCGGCACCGTTCCCCCCCTCTGCGGCCCCAGCACGCGCATCGACCTCTCGTACAACAACCTCACGGGCGAACTCCCGCGCGACGCGGACGCGTACCAGTACGAAAACCCCTTGTACGACAACCTCCCGTACAACAGCCTCCAGTCGCTCTCGTTGCGCGGCAACGGCCTGACCGGCGCGATTCCGCCGGCGCTGGCGGAGGGGATGCGCGCGCTGACGCACCTGGACCTGGGGGAGAACCGCCTGTCGGGCGCGCCCACGGCGCTCGCGTCGCTGCGCGGTCTGGACGTGGTGCGCCTCGACGGCAACGCGCTGAGCGGGCCGTTCTGCGACGCGCTGCTGCCGGTGCGCGAGCTCTGGCTGGGCTTCAACGCCTTTGGCGGCGGCGGGGGCAGCGGCGCGGAGGAGGAAGGGGGACAGCCGGGGGAGGGCGATCTGCACGGGTGCGTGGTGCCCGCGCACGTGGAGGTGCTAAGCGCGCCGCACGCGGGGCTGAGGGGGAGCGTTCCGGGGGACCTGTTGATGCGAGTGGACGAGCAGTGGGGGCGCATTGTCATGGGGTCGCCAGCACGTGTGTTGCAAGCGCAGAGCCTGCACGTGAACCTCAGCCACAACTGCCTCACGGGCAGCCTGAAAGCTTTCTCCGTGATCCGCAACGGCAGCCTGGACGTGTCGCACAACAATTTCACGGGCAGCATTCCCGAGGGGTTGTTCCGCCTGGCGAGCAGTGGGGGCCTGGAGCGCGGGGCGAACGTGAGCGCGGAGAGCAGCAGGGCGGGAGGGCAAGGGCGAAGGCGAGTGGTGGTGGACGTGCGGTTCAACGAGCTGTCGGGGCCGCTGTTTCACGCGCGCAGGGACGCGCAGGGGCCCACGGACTGGAGCGTGCTGCGAGTGAGCGGCAACAGCGCTGCCATGAAGGGCGCCGTGGGCGCGGGGTACCTCCCCGTGCCGTCGCCAGGCGTGCAGGCGTCCGCTGCGGAGACTGAGGCTCTGCTGGCCGTGCGCGATGCACTCCTGTGGGAAGCAGCGGGGGAAGCAGGTGGGGGAACAGAGGTGGGAGCGTTGGTGAACGGCGGAAACGGCTCGTGGGCGGCGATACTGAGCAACTGGGATGCGAGCAGCAGCAGTGCGTGTGAGTGGTACGGCGTGGGGTGCACAGCAGACGGACACGTGCACACGCTGCACCTGCTGGGGGACGCCACGGTCGCACTGCACCCCAACGTGGTCCCGGACATGCCCGACTGCCAGAACGACCAGCTCGGGGACATGTCATGCGCCTCCGAGCCTCCCCACACCGCACACTTCTTCCTGCAGGGCCTGTCTGCAGGGAGCGGCAGCAGCAGTGCAAGCGGGAGTCTGTCGGAGGCGTTGGGGCAGCTGACGCAGCTGACGTCTCTACGCATCTCCGGTCACGCACTCTCCGGCGGCCTGCCGTCGTCCCTCTCACGCCTCTCGCTCCTCGTCGCTCTCGACCTCTCCTCCAACCGCCACCTCTCCGGCTCCATCCCCCCCGCCCTCTTCACCCTCCCCTCGCTGCGAGAGCTCACCCTCCGCGGGAACAACCTCACGGGAGCAGCCCTCCCAACCACCACTGCAGCAGCAACAGCAGCAGCGGCAGCAGCAGCAGCAGCGCTCTCACAAAGTCTGGAGAGTCTAGACGTGGGGGGGAATGCTCTGTCGGGGTCCATAGCAGCGCAGGTGAGTCTTCTCACGGGGCTGACGCGCCTGGCGCTGGACCACAACCGGCTGGACGGCAGCTTGCCAAGGGAGCTCGGCGCGCTCTGGATGCTCACAGACCTGCAGCTGCAGGGGAACGCCCTCCGGGGCGGCCTTTTTGAGGTTGCCACTGCCATCGACCCCCCTGCCGACGCCACGGCTGCTGCTGCTGCTGCTGCTGCTGCTGCTGCAGGGGGGGTTGTTCCCTCATCCCGGCCACGTTACCCGCGGAGCTTGACCAAAGTGTTCCCGCTGCTCGACTCCCTGGACGTCAGCAGCAACCAGCTGTCCAGAGACGCCAATGTGCTCTTCGTCCCGTGGGACGCAAACTACAGAGCGTACGAGCTCAAGCACCCCTTCCCGCGCATGCGCTACCTGAACGCGTCGCACAACAACCTCACTTTCCAGTACGAGCTGAACGTGCAGACGATTGCATCCGTGGTGGACCTCTCCCACAACCGAATCACTGGCACGGTGGAAGACATGATTGGCGTGGCCTACTGGCCGCACGCGTTGATGGATGTGCTGCGCCTGTCGCACAACCAGCTGTCGGGGGAAGTGCCCTACTGGCTGCTGAAAAGAGTGGGTGGGGAGCTGGACCTCTCCCACAACCTGCTCTCCGGCACGCTGGAAGACATAGTTGAAGTGCCGTGGTGGCCGAATGGGTTGATGGATGTGCTGCGCCTCTCGCACAATCAACTGTCGGGAAGTGTGACTTCGTATATGCTGAGATCAGTGGGCGTTGAGCTGGACCTCTCTCACAACCACCTCACCGGCACGCTGCCGGCGCTGAATCCAGCAATGACCGCCATCAACCTCTCCCACAACAACTTCTCTGGCGCCATCCCGCCTCTCGCTGGTGCCCTGGAGTCATGTGACTTGTCGCACAACCAGCTGGAAGGGGCAATCCCCCCGCTGGGACCGAGACTGGTGCACGTGAACGTGAGCTGGAACAACCTGACTGGGCTCAACGCGTCAGTGCTTCTCCAGGATGTGAGCGCGCTGCGCAGCCTGGACGTGTCACATAACGCCATCACCGGGGGGCTGCCCGCTGTGGGTGAGAGCAGCAGCAGCAGTGGGGTCACGGGCCTCACCTATCTCGACCTCTCCTTCAACTCCTTCTCCGGCGCCCTTGCACAACAAAACCTGCCATTCCCAACCACAGGCGAATGCAGTGTGATGCAGAGCGGTGCGGAGGTGCGGCTGAGCCACAATGCACTGACTGGGAGCATCCCGGATGCTGTCTTCTCCCCGTGCCTCTCCCTGCTGGACCTCTCCCACAACCACCTCTCCGGCCCCATCCCAGAACCTCTCAAGGCTGACAACCAGAGTGCCTCCCATCCCGCTCTTTCCCACTTGGACCTTTCTTCCAACCAGCTCACAGGACCCATCCCCGATGCTCTCATTACCAGCCTCACAGAACTAACTCACCTGAGCCTCTCCCACAACCAGCTCACAGGATCCGTCTCCGATGCTCTCACCACCAGCCTCACTGGTTTAACTCACCTGAGCCTCTCCCACAACCAGCTCTCTGGCTCCCTCCTGCCTCTCTCTGCCTGCCCTCGCTGCACTCACATGGACCTCTCTTACAACCTCTTAACTGGCGCCATCCCTGACCTACTCCAGGGCACCACTCAGAACTCCTCCCGTCTCCCTCTTTCCCACTTGGACCTCTCTTTCAACCAGCTCACAGGACCCATCTCCGATGCTCTCACCACCAGCCTCACTGGTCTAACTCACCTGAGCCTCTCCCACAACCAGCTCTCCGGCTCGCTCCTGCCTGTGGCTGCCTGCTCTCACTGCACTCACGTGGACCTCTCTTACAACCTCCTCTCCGGTGCCATTCCCCCCCTCCTCGCCTCCTCGACCTCCCCTCTCGCCCACCTCAACCTCCGCAGCAACTTGCTATCAGGCTCGCTGCCGCGCTCCCTCACCCTCGCGCCATTGCTCACCCATCTGGACCTCTCACGCAACAAGCTCAAAGGCTCCCTGCCTGCCTTCTGCCAGGACAAGCAGCGACTCGCCTCTCTCCTCCTCTCCTCCAACGCTTTCTCCGGCCCCCTCTCCTCCCTCCTCCCCTCCTCCTCCTCCTGCGCCTCCGCCCTCCTCTCCCTCAACGTCTCCACCAACCACCTCTCCGGCTCGCTCCCCTCGTCCCTCTCGCGCTTCACCGCTCTGCACTCCTTGCAGACGGCGCGCAACCGCATGAGCGGCAGCATCCCTGCAGGGCTGGCGTCCCTGAAGGCCCTGCAGGAGCTGGACGTGTCGTGGAGCGGGCTGTCAGGCACCATCCCTGCGCGCCTGCGTGCTGCTGCCCCCTCCCTGCAAGTGCTCCTCGCTGGCAACTCCCTCTCTGGCTCCGTCCCCCCCTCTCTCTCTGACCTGTCGGTGTCCTGCTTCCGCCCCGGCAACCCCAAGCTCTGTGGGAAACCCCTGCCTGACTGCAAAAAGAGATCTACGAAGCCTAGGAAGGGCAGGGTGTAGGAACTGGTGGCAGGAAGGGAAAGTGTCCCACATTCTGACCTTGAGTTCAGAGATTTTCCTGTTGTTGGACCCATGCCGGGAAGATATATTCTAACGAAATTGGTTGAGGTTTTCCCCACACAATGCTTGCTACTCCTGCAGTAACACATACCGTATGTAAAAAAACAGCATGATTCTGATTTCAAATATTTTTCTAGCATCTAGAAACCATGGCTATGTACAGCCGGCCTCCTGATGTGTTTTCTGATCACAGTCAACTATTTGGTGTCCACCTCATCCGCAAGCCCATGTTTCTCTCCTGTAACTTGGCGAACCAAGAAGCAGATACAGTAAGAAACGGACATGGACTGAGCATGGCTTGCCTGCAGACCAGTTCACAAGCTGCTCCACTCCACTGCCACATTCTAAACTGCCACGGCCTCCTTGCCCGCGCCGTGCCTCCACCTGTTTGGTCCCCTCATCTCTTCAGCCCCCATGCGAGCATGTGAGCGTGCGACATGCAAGGCCGAGCATGCAAGGGCGAGCATGCAAGGCCGCCCACACTCCATATGCGCAGCCCCGCCTGCCATGCTCTCACCCGTCTCTGGCACCTGCCTGTCTTCCCCACCTGCAGTGCCAGCGCCAGCCCCCAAGGGCTCGAGTGCAGAGCAGATTGCTTGCATGATTCAGCCCCTCACACACCCCTCTGCCATGCGTGCCCCCTGCAGGTGACCCGTCTGCCTGTGTGGCACGGCGCCAACTACCTGTCCTTTGGGTATCGCTTTGGCGATGTGTGCTACATCAGGCTAGCCTCCCTGCCCGCCGCCTGGATGCCCTCTGCATGCCCTCTCTCACATCCCAGGTACCATGTGCATGGCTGTGGGTGGATCACATAGGGTGCTATCACTTTGCTGCCTCCCTGATTCATTCACTGGCTAGAATTAGGATCAGCGGCGGCATCATGCATCCTAACTAGCCAAGCGATGCTACCAGCTGGGGCATGAACGTTCCTCATGCTTGCAGCCTCCCGTTTCTCCTCGCACTCACTCCCCGTGTCCCCCCTCACCGCCAGTGACGTGAGCGCCATCCCAGACTCCACGTATCCCCTGCTCGAGAACTGCAAGCTCCTCATCCTTGTACGTGCCTTTGCTGCCCCCACGCCCACCCACTTAGACATCTCGCTCCTCCTAGGCATGTTCTCTCTGCTGCTTTCCCTCGTGCCCTCACCACTCCCACCACCCCTTCCCCACCACTTATGCTCGTCCTCTCACACCCTCACCACTGCCCCATCCGCACCTCCTGCCACCACGGCCAAGCTCTGTGCTGCTCTCACCGACCTTGCGTGCGCCCATCCGCTCCACTCCAGGATGCCCTTCGTCCCGACCGCTCAAGCGCCTCTCATTTCGGTCTCCCACAGGTGATAAGCCATACCATTCCATGTCATGCTATACCATGCTATGCCATGCCATGCCATGCCATGCCATGCCATGCCATGCAATACTTCATGACCACGCCATGCCAGAGCACAGGACACCATGGCACGTCCGCCACTGCTACGGCATAGTGTGCACTTCATAACTCAAGACCAGAAATCTGAAGTCCCTTCCTTTCATTATCCTCTTTCCCTTGCTCACCTTCAAATGTGCACATATGCATTAACACACATGCACACACACATACACTTGCACCCGCGCATGGCACTTGCACACGCGCTTGTACGCACGTGCGCATGCATGCACACACACTCTCACACACACACCTCCATTCATCCATGTGCCATATGGTGGCATGCAGGCATTGGAGGAGGTGCACAAGATCCGCCCCCAGCGGACACTCCTCACATGTCAGACCCTCTGCCCGCTGCCATGTCATGCCCGCGTGCCATGCCTCAGGTTCCAATGTCGGCTCCTCCTCCTGCTCTGCTTGGTCTGTCTCTGTTCTCTCGCCTTTCCTTCATTTCCCTTTCTGCCTGGGTTTTGGATTGGCCCTCGCCGATTTCCTGTCCCCCGAGGCCCGCGCTCCGCAACTTCCAATGTCACCAACTTTGCATCGTCCCCAATAACCCAACTACCCCACGGACAAACTCCATAATACATTCTACACCACGTTACACCTCAAATAGCATTGTACATAATATACTGCACTTACCATTATATTATGTGACAGCTGTCGGAATTCTTCACCTTTCCTTCATTTCCCTTTCTGCCCCAATTTCCTACCACTGCTTCCTTCCCTGCCTCACCCACTACCTGCCCCCTCCTGTGCTCATGCATGGGCTGCCCGTGCGCGAGTAACTGGACCTTCCTGCTGAGACCTGTGTCCCTTCACCACCGCTGCATTGGTCTGGTGATCCACTGTCCTTTCTCCCTTCTCATTCTCCAGCACTACTACGCCTGATCCCCACACCTCTCCGTCCCCAAGCCCACGTCCAGTGTATAGCCCTGTGCAGGTACACCTCTTGTCCCTTGGTTGTGGTTGCCTTCGCCTTCCTGCCATCCTGCTGCTATCGTCGCTCGTACCTGTGGGCATATCTCAGTTGGGCCGTGTGCAGGTTCTCTAAGGCTACAGGCAGCATCTCCCTCATGTACCTGGCCCTTTCTTCTGCCAATGCCACCCATTTCTCGGCTCCTTCTACGCTAATAGTGTCCGTCTGCACTCTAGGCGCTCCCACGGGCAGTATAGGCTAAATTTCGAACAACAGCCTGTATGGTGAGTTATCCTTCAGTGACGCCTGCTGCATCTGTACCCCGCGGCAATCCAGTGTAACTCCTCGTCCCAGTCCTTCTTGCGCTTCTCCCCATACACCCTCAGGCTCCGCTTCAGCATCTGCACTAACCGTTCTGTGAGCCCGTCGCGAGACTTCAGGTAGCGAGACGTCTGCGTGTGAGTGATTCTGGTCTTCTCTAGTAGCGCCTGGAACTCCCCCTTGAATTCACTTCCTTGGTCAGTCAGTACCTCCCCACTTGCCCCAAAACTGCACACCACTTGCTCCTTAAAGGCCTTGGCCATGTGCTTTAAGCTCTTTCTCGAGATGGCGCATACCTCCAGCCACTTACTGGCATGCTCCACCATGATCAGATACTATTTCTGACCTCTACTGAGTGGCAGTTCCCCAGCCAGGTCCAAGGACCACCTGAACAGCCCTCTAATCGGTAGCGACTGCAGCTCTTTCTTTGCCTGCATCAATCTCGCCTTGATTCTCTGGCAGCCTTTACACCTGCTCACCCACTCATTCAATTGCTTGCACATTCCTTCCCACCACTAGCCCGTTTTCACCAACTGTACTGTGCACTCGTGCCCAACGTGTCCTAACTTGTTTGCACTTCCTGAATCACTCCCTCCTTCTCCTCTGGTGCAGGTAACAGCTTCCAGCCGTCCTCTGACTGCAACTGCAGCTGCTCCTGATACCACCAGTAGTGGTGCCCCCTCTCCGGCATTTGTTCGTCTTCTCTTGTCTCCCCTCGGATCCACCTCATCATTGCTGTGTCCTCCCATATGTCCCGTGGGCCCTTTTGCTTCTCTGCTGCAGCTTCCCCCCCTTCTCTGGCCAATAGCATCAGTATGCGTATCGGCTCTGGTGGTGGCGGGTTCCTTGAGCGCCCGTCTACATGCTGCAGTGTTTTCCTTGGCCTATGCCTTATCTTGAAATCATACGCTTACAACGTCACTGCCCATCGTGCATTCCTCCTTGTCAGTCCCTAGTGAGTCATTAACCACTGTAGAGGCTGATGATCGGTTATAAGTGTGAACCCCCTTCCCTGCAGGTACACTATGAAGTGCTTCATGGCCCACACAGCTGCCAACCCCTCCTTGTGGTACGGACTATACTTTGCTTCAGCAGGGTTGCAAATCCTGCTTTCATACGCCACTACCCTCTCTTCCCCATCGAGCTCTTGGCACAGTATGGCGTCCATGCCTTGGCTGCTCCAATCGGTGTAGAAGAAGAGCTTCTCTGCCTGTGGCAGCTGCAGGATGGACGCCGTCTGTACAGCTTTTAGCAGATCCTTCAACGCCGCTTCTTGCTCGGCCCCCCACTCCCTCTTCATGTCCTCCCTCAACAGTCCGTTCAGTGCTGTTGCGCGCTTGCTGAAGTTGGGTACGATTCTCCTGTAATAGTTCAGGAACCCTAGTACTGCTCTCAGTCCACTTCTGTCCTTCGGCTGGTGCAACCGGCTCAGTACCGCTACCTTGGCTTTCTGAATCCCGATCCGTCCAACCCTGGCCTCATTTCACAGGTAATGCACCGTTGCCTCTGCCCACCTGCACTTCTTCGGATGGTAGGTCATTCCCGCTGGCGCCAGCGCCTCCAGCATGCACTCCACATCACGTACGCGTTCCTCTTCACTCCTAGTGAAGATCACCGCGTCATTTATGTAACATGCTTCGAGTCCAAGCCTCTTAACACGCTGCCCATAACTCTCCGAAAAATCGCTGATGCATTGCGCAACCTGAATGGTATGAACAACCATTCGTACAGCCCGTCCGCACCATGAAATGCTGTCTTGCGCACGTCCTCCTTCCTGATCCTTATCTGGTTGAACCCCTGTAGCAAGTCTAACGTGATGGATATCTCTCCTGCTCCCAGCCGGTCGAATATGTCTTCTACCGTGGGCATTGGGTACCTATCGGGCACTGTCACCTTGTTAAGCGCTCTGTAATCCCCACACATGCGCCTGCTCAGCACCTCCCCTGTCAGGTCCTCCCGTGCTGCAATAATAGCGGGTGTCGCGTACTGAGACTCAGAACTCTGTATCAGCCCGACTTGTAGTAACTCCCTGCACTTTTCCTTGCATATGTCCTCATCCCCTGGTGTCATCCCCGTGTCTCATATTTCTTAGTGTATTACACTTGGTTGGACTAAAGCGCCAGTGATTGGGTAACGATAGGCGAGATTTGTGACGAGCAATTGGATAACACAAACGATACCTCAGTTCGTCCACGCAAAAGCCAACCGAGCCCCTCAGGCATGGAAAGCTACCACACCTATAAAACTGTTGAGAGCTGGAGCCCTGGAGCGGGTAGTTCGGGAGCTTCTTGTAGTGGCCAGGTGCAGCTGCAGCGGCGTCCGCGCGAGATCCTTTCGCCCCAGCAGCTTCGTGAGTGGTACGCTAGTTGGTGTTGTAGGGGTGGCCGTGGTGGGAGTCGCCCTGGAGCGGGTAGTTCGGGAGCTTCTTGTAGTGGCCAAGTGCAGCTGCAGCGGCGTCCGCGCGAGATCCTTTTGCCCCAGCAGCTTCGTTAGTGGTACGCTCAGAGTAGAGGGTCACGGAGTACTGCTCGCTGCCCGTACGTCATTCGCACTGGTGCTCGGGCTGGTCAGCCTTGCGGGACGGTTGGTCACACAGAGTCCCGCTGCTTCTCCTGTCTGAGCGACGCCTGGCGTACAGAGTTCGGCGACGACGCTGAGCTCCCCTCCTGGCTGGAGCTGCTTAGGCAGAGGGTAGATATCTTTGCTCTTGACTATGATGCTATCCTCACTGCCATGTATGCATTGCCTACTAGTGCTGAGGGTGCCTGTTACCTGTGTGTGGCGCCTGACCCAGGTATAGAGTCTACTGCTCTAGGTGCTGGTGAGGCTGCTGCTCTAGGTGCTGGTGCGTCTCCTGCTCCAGGTGCCGGTGAGGCTGCTGCTCTAGGCGCTAGTGAGTCTACTGCTCCAGGTGCTGGTGAGTCTGCTCTCTCTGGTACTGCGCCTGCGGCGGCCTTGCACACCTTCACGCTTGACTGAGAGCTTCCCGCTCCTTCTTTCGCGACTTCACCACACTCACGCCGCTCAGTCGGCCGGTGGCAGTCTCTCTGGCTGACCCCTCTGGGGGTCCGGTCCTTGCACACTCCTCCACGGTTCTGCCGTGTCCGGCGGTCCCGTCTGGCTCTCTGTCTGGCCTCCACCTCCCCTCGTTCTCCACGAACTTGGTGAGTGGAGCTGACCTTCAGGACGCGTGGGTTGACCAGTTCACTCCTGGAGGTCAGCGGGTGACCCACTGCTCGTGTACTCGGACGGGCCGGCACCTGGCCACGTTCACCCGTCAGCCTGGGTCGAGCCTGTACACCCTGACTACCGTGTCTCCTCCGGTTGCTGAGTCTGGTCAGGTAGCCGCGTCGGGTCAGGTGTTTGCTGCAGCGTCCCGGCCTGGTCCTGAGTCTGCCCCCTGCTCGTGTCGCCTCCTGTCTCACCAGACTCTCCTCTGGCACCACCGCCTTGGTCACCCCTCCCTGCCTCGTCTCCGAGGCATGGCCTCCCGTGTCCTTGTCACTGGTCTTCCCCGGTCTCTCCCTCCCCTTCCCCCGGGGCCTGCCCCTACCTGCGTTCCTTGCGTCGAGGGGCGGCAGCGCGCCGCTCCTCACTCCTCCGAGTTCCCTCCGACGGAGGCTCCGCTGCAAACTCTTCACATGGACGTGTGGGGCCCCGCCCGCGTCTATGGAC